CTCAAGTATTTTACAATTTCGAAAATGTTGAGAATGACGGAAATCAAAGAGCAATTAAGGGGGCGGTAATTATAAGGGTGCCTTCATTTTTGTAGTTTGTGGACTTGACCTATTTTGTGCAAATAAAATTTCTACAAAATTTTTTCTGTTTCTTTGAAGTCCACACAATTCGCGACGCATATATACGGTTTATATACAGGTGTCCGGAAATTGCGTCTACATTTTTAAAGAAGGTGATTCTACATCAAAAATCATGAAGAAAAGTTTATATAAAGTCTGATCCGAAATGTTTCCTAAGGACGCTAGAGCGCTTTAAAGATGGCACTCAAAAAGTATTCGAATTATAGAAGAAAATGTTAAAAATTCGTATATCTTAATCGGATCAAGTTACCTTAGCAAACAATTAAGAGAGCACAAAAATGTTGTTGCCTAGAGCCTTCCTTCACACTTTATTCAAGCTTAGAACTGGTTCAAAACTATTTTTGACGCGTGTTTAAAAGCCAACAGATCAACGAAACATCAACAATGACAATAAAACAAAATAAACCAAAACACTAAGAATTTCTAAAATTTTAGCCAAAAATAGCTCACAAATGTTCGAAATGCTTTCCATCAATCTCAATGCATTTATTTAATCTAGTTTCGACAGAAAAAAACGCCGCGTTCTTGGGTTTTCTTGAAAAATCAGCTACACATAACCGCAATGGCTAAGCCAATCTTAAAAACACTTCTAGAGAAAAATGTGTTTCTTTGTGGTAATTGCACATTTTCGCCATGCAGTTACATCATATTCGAAACATTGGAAATAAATCCCTAACATATAATAATAATAATAATAACTTTATTGCCCAGCAAATAAAATAGAAAAATAATATAATAAACTAAAAATGTTCCACCAAAAACCTCGAAAAATAACAAAAACAAAATTAAATTATTATTATTAGATTTATTAATTAATTAAATCTATTTTACAGAGAAAAAAAATGAAAAACATGCACAAAAACAACAACAAAAAAACTTAAATCAATAACAACTAATTAATATTACAAAACTTATGAATTACAATTCCGTGACGTACGCGACGCAATTAGATAAAGGAACACCACGCAACAAAGAATCATTCTGATTAAAAAGTATTCTATTAAACAACCGAGACCCAATAGTCACCACCCAGCTTCAACTAACTTATGAGAAATTCTATCAAATTTTCGGTTGCCATAAATGAACCGTAGGCAACAATTTTGTATTTTTTGAATTCTATTTGAATCAAAAGCAGTTAAAGCGGGATGGTAAACTGGTACCATATAATTAAACTGAGACAAAACGAGAGCATCGCACAAATTTCTGTTAACATCTATTGGCAAGCAACCTCTATGAGGAAATAACAATCTCAAAGTGAAATATGCATTTTTAATATATTTAGATATCTGATCTGAAAATCTGAGAGAGGTATCAATTGCCACCCCAAGACTGTATATTTATCAACCACTGAAAGACTTGTATTGTTGACAAGTATGACAGCGGATTTAGAAAGCTCCGAAATGATTGGTTTCCTCCCAAAGAACATGACAGCAGACTTCTTAGGGTTAATCCTCAAACAATGTTTAGAGGCAGCCACATAAATGCTATTAAGACCATTATTAATAAAATCAACAACCACTCGCCAATCGGAAGGATGAAAAATGCTGTACATGGTCAAAAAGGTATCATAATAAGGTAACATATCAAATCTCAAAGAAGATAAGATAGATAAAAGGATGCTGTGGTTTACGGTATCGAAAGCTCGACTGAAATCTAATAGAGTAAGTAGGGCAACATTACCCTGATCCACCGAAGAAATAATATCATCCGTGAGTGCCATCATTGTAGTTGTAGTACCACATTTTTTTACGAGATCCCGACTGAATTGAAGAAAGCAATTCAAATTTATCAAGATATTCCACGAGCTGACCTTTTCACGGATTTTCGAAAACGCAGGCAACAAACTGATTGGTCTAAAATGCTTAAAACGTGACGGATTTTGTCTTTGGAATCGGATTCATTAAAGCATGTTTCCAAACATCCGGAAACCGACCCTCTGCAATGCAATAGTTAAATGAATACCCTGCAATAGCAGGGTATTCAAACTAGATAAATTTGAATAAAAATCTAAAATCGAGGAATCAAACGGCATGGTGTTTAGAATATCAGAAATGATTGTAAGAAAAAATTCTTTTAGGTCCTCAACTTTCTTTAAGTCATCCGGAATCGAAATGGGATTTTTTCTTAAAATGGAGCGACTTTAGCCGTCAAATTTAATAATAATAATAAAGAATACTACAATGTAAGTAATACATTAAAATAACTAAGTATAGAGTTTACCAAAGGGTATTTCCATCATTAAGCCAATTTATGGCGTCCTGGTCTTCCTAGAAATCCCATACACAAAAAAAAAGAAATATATAAAAAAAAACTAAATAAAGTAATAAATCAAAATTCAATTCAAACTGAAACAATTATCGTGGCCGATAAGTAAAAACGAAAAAATATAAAAAATGAAGGGCCTAAACACATAAAAATTAATAAATGTCCCTAACAAACTAAAAAGAAAAAAAATAAATATATATATACACTAATTCGAGTTGAAGGTAAAACGACGCGCTAGTCATTAAGCAATTTAAGACGCAGAGACCTTTTAAAAGTGCGAAACGATGGTTGAGCAAAACGCAGACTGTACTTATTCAAAACACATGCCGCGTTATAACTATGTCAATGAGGTCCTTACGCCGGACATTAATATTATGAATGTCCGTTCTGTAAGTAATTTTGTTGGTGAGGTAAGATGGTAGCTTACTTGACACAACTTTATAAAGAAAACAACCAAAATGTAACTGACGACGACTTGCCATATTCAGCTACTTCAACTCCCCCAGCTTATACGATACTCTCTGACGTCGGCGTATACCAAATATTAAAACGAATACAAGAATTCTGAACTACCTGCATACGTCGCGCATCAGCAGTCAGAACTACCCACTAAAATTGGATAAAATTACAGTCTCACAAAGATTCTTTTTAATATCGGTGTTCAAGACTTGTCTATGAGCAAACAATATTTTTAATTTTACGAAAGCACGTCTGATCAGTTCACTTGTGTTACGGGTAAACCTTAAGCTGTCGTCAATGTAAAGACCAAGATCCTTGACACAGACCTACCTCTCCAATTCAATTCCATCTATAAAGATATGGGCCATATTGCTGACAAGCGCTTTGGATTCCCTACCCCCGAATATCATATAGACCGATTTATTCCCATTTAACAAAAGACCATGTTTTTTAGTAATATTAAAAAATTTATCTAAATCATTGTTTACATCTGCAACAGACTCTAGCACATTATTTGAGCTAAAGCTGTGGTAAAGTTGAGTGTCATCCGCATAGATGTGAAATTTTGAGCAAAAGCGGTCAAAGATCAACATTTGAGACGTATAGATAGTGAACAAAAGGGGACCCAATATAGAGCAATACGGCTGGATCCGACACTTCATTATCAATAACCACATACTGACTTCTTTCGCACAGATAATTATTAAAAAAAATTAAGGCTGTATTATTGAACCCAATATAATGAATTTCTAAGAGACTTAAAATATTCCTACTTACCAGGAGTCTGATTCACTCTAAAATCTGGCTTTGCCTTATCCCTGAAGGACATGATAAACTTTAAATTATCAGTAAGTCAAGGCGGACAAGGTTTGTTTCTTTTTTTAAACTATTCCATAGGAGATCATACGCTTCGGCGTTAGTAAATGACATGTTTACAGTTACCATGGTTATGATTTGTTTTTTCGACTTTTTAAAACGCATTGGCCATCCCTTCCCTTATTATGACAGATATGAGGATTTTTGCATATAAGGATTTTTTTCCCAAACCTTACCGTTGTCGAGATACAACCGCTAAAGGAACACCCGGTATATTGTTAAACCTTGATTTAGGAATTTTTCTTTAAGTTGTTTAGAAGATAAAAGAAAAAGTTAGAAAATTAAAACTACTTGGGCTTGAAAGTGTGGAAAATTCCATCTTTGTAAAATATGGTTTATTCTCTGTATTTATTTATGCAAATTATGTTCTTATTCATTTTTAAACTTCAATTTAAACAAAATTTTCCGTAAATAATAAACTTAAATGTTCTTAAAGTTATACAAGCCATTAACTATATAGCATTAGTTTTTGCAATATTTGTGTTCTATAAATTATTAAATATTAAATCAAATGGATAGAGATAAAATAAACGTTGATACTTCAATTTTTTATATAATTGTGTTATAATTTTAAGAAATTAAAATCAAGTAATAGAAGTTTCTGGGTAATTATTATTTAATTAACTATTCTTAAAAAATATTGAATCAATAAAAGAGAAAGATTTGTTTTCCGTATTTTCACTTTTAATCAAATGGAAATTTCCACCAAGTGCACGGTGGCGACAGCAGCGTACCGTTGCTCTTTGTCTCCGTTTCACTTTCGAAATGACCCCTTCCCAAGATTGTGCAACGCAGCAATAAAACATAAACAACGTATATGTGTGTGTTAATGTGTGCCTATAATACAAACGGCCGCATCCTAATGTTACTTTTCAAAACGGCACTTGTCGATTGGCGATTATAAATAAATAAATATAATCGCTTCAACTTCATCGTTTGTCGTCGTCGTCGTCCATTCGCTTCATGCTTGTAGGCAAAGTTCAAGGAGTTTAATTGACACAATAACGCGAACGTAAACAATACTTCGTGACGTTCGTTAATTCAACTGCAGATGTTTGTAAATATTATAATTTCACTTTTGAGATTGTGGGTTTTTGCGTATGCACTTGCATTTCCTGACGCAATAATTTTTTCCTTATCCGCTATCGAATATTTAAATTTAAATTTTTTTTATATAACAAAGTGTTAACATAGGCAACTTAGTTCACTCAATTTATCATCTAAGATAGTAATTTTATTACTACAAAAAGAAATTTATTGATTTTACTGTTTTCTGGTCTTTATTTCCCCTTAACTTATACAACCCAATCTACAAAGGATCACTAAATTCAAAATTTTTCCTAATAAGTTAACTAATATATGTTCCAATATAAGTTTCACACTCCGGACAAAAATGGTCAACATTCATACAATTAGCGCAAACGTAAGGGATAAAAAATAAACTGAAAATATAAAATTATTAACTCTGTTAAAATCACATCATCAACATACCAGCATAACGCGAGAATTAAAGCTTTTATATGAGTCCTATAACTGGGTCGCACTGCAATTTCTGTCGTAACATAATGACCGCAATGTGGACAAGTTAAGATCTGTGGTTTTGACGCTAAAGGTACAACTGAATAAGGAGTTTCATTGTTAACTTTACGGATTTTAAGTAGCTTTTCCAAGTCTTCGTTTTGAGTGATTTTTGTTGCTCTCATACTTATCGTTTTTTCGTCTGGGTGCCCAGACAATGTTTCCGCGAGCATTTTGAATTCAGTTTTGTTGTTTATAGAAAATTATATTCTAAATTTAAGTTTTCCAAAAACCAACATCGTCTAAGAGGTCTTCTGAATTTATTACCATTTGTTGTTCAATTAAGTTTAAAAGACATTTTTCTTAGGGATAATTTCAAAAAGGGGAAATATGTATAATATCCATTTTGATCAGAAACAATTAATTTTGGTTGAGGAGATGAGAAAATGAGATGAAATGGGAACTGAAATTTTGACTTTAATTATTAAAATAGTCAATGTGACATGTTGACAGATCGTGTCATAATAATTGAGTGAACACCTAAATTGCGCCACCGCCATCTGAAAGTTCGCATTTAATTTTAATTAAATTAATTATTTCGATTTAACTATTTATAGAGTGTTACAGTTATCTTATTTTAGAGCTTTCTTAATTTCTCTGATTTAAATTAATAAAATCTTTGAAAAGGGCGTCATATCTGACATTAAAATTTAGTAGGGTAGTATTAATTTATCTAGTTTATATTTGCAATAATTCATAATTTCAACAATCAAAAGAATTCTTGGATTTATTATGAGATTTGCAAACCGGTTGTTCGAAAATTGAAATAAACGGGAAGCTGTGCGTAATACCACTATTGCGCGCTAGATAGCGTATTATTATTCAAAGGTACATTTTAGGGTCACAATCTAGATCACAAATTGTAGAAGTTCTGGTAAAACAAAATTATAATAGATCAAGAATGAATGCATAGAAAAAGAAGACTTGTTAACCAAGAAAAATGGGAATATAATGGATTAAATATGCAAGATGAAAAACTTGAACTAATTTGATCTTATTTTTGGAATTAAGATATCATTATTAAGACCAAGTATTCTTGAGATCTTACACAAGCAACACACCGGAATCGTACGAATGAAGAAGTTAGCTAAAAGTTTTAATTAATGACCTATAATTAACTCCAACATTGATAGTTATGTAGTTATTTGCGAGGTGTGACTGAAGCTTGCAAAACGTCAAAACGAAGTCACTAACTGGTTAGTCATGACTCTTCTACCTAGCACAATCAGTATTTTGAAAAATATCGATACATCTTGTTTTGGTTGTACACACTTAGGTTGTTCCAGAAATTCTGAGGAATGCATTATATACCTTAGAAGCATCTTTGCAATTTGATATGAAAGATAATACTGTCAGCGAGATATAAATACTATAAGTACTATTAATGGCGTCAGTTACAAATTAACCCTTTCACACTACATCTAATTGGGTAGGAATACGTCATGTTTAAATATCAATGAGCGCTTTAAAGAAATCTCTTGAGTTATTAAAAGGAATGAGTATAAAATGAGTCCATCTATCAAAACCGAATATAGCCCGCGGTAAGTTCAAAAAATAAAGATAATTTATTAATACTAGGAACAGGGGAAAAATATGTCGTTTAAATCGATTCTATCAATTGTCTCTATAACCTGCAGTAGTAAGTTTTTTAGCCAGTGAGATTCCAAACTTGATATGATCCCTGATATGATATAGATTCTGGTCTACTCAGAAACATCCATCAATTGAATATACAACTAGCAAGCTAAAAAGATAGAAACACACCAGGATCACAGAAGGTAATGGATAAGGAACAATGCCAAAAAGAATGGAACTATATGCAATCTAGTATTTACAAGATGTTAAAAAAACTAGAAGGAAGAGAATAGACAATCTATAATAGAGAAAGAGTTAAAGACAAGCTAGCAGTAAATGAGTGAAAAAGTTAGTACGTGAAAGGAGAACAAAAAAAAACACTTTCCACTCTTAGATTGGCTTGTGATTGGATGTGAAAAAGATTGAGTAAGAATCTAAAATATAACAGAAAAGGAGTCATAATCAAAGAAGGAATTAAATCAAGTTTAATCAAATTAAAATCAAGGAAGAAATTCACAAATAGTAGTAAAAAAACAAAAACATGAGTTTCGACATGTTATGAGACTCTGTAAGAAAACGTGGCATTTTGAAACTTACGAAAATGTAAAATTGGTATAGCAAAAAACATTAACCGAAATATGTCACTCCTGGACCAAAAAAATGTATTCAACCCCACCAATACATATAAAACTAGGTTTGATAGAAAATTTTGTCAAAGCCATGGAACGCAAACAGTCAGGTTTTATGTAAGATGTTTTTTTATCGCTGTTTGTTTTTCCCAACAACAAGTTGAACCAAAAAAAAACTGAGGTTGTACTATTTTGTTTGGTGTTCGTTTCATACCAAATGTTTTAGTTCTGATTGGACAGCAAGTAATGATGAGTGTAGCACATAGTTCAGGTGTTACTTCTACTTTTTGATTCTTAATTATCAGTTTGAAGTTCCTCGTATAACTCTCTTCGTCATCGAAGAAAAAATTGATCAACATTCTCTCCAGAACAAGAAGAAGAAATAGCGCAATATATTTTTTTATGGAGGCACAATTATTTGGTTTCACACTAAATAACTTCAGAACATTGGCGTTTGAATTGGCAGAGCGAAATCACATGGACCATCGATTCAATCAGAATAAGAAAAAAGGTAAGTTAAAAAAAGCCCAAACATCAAGCTGCACATTCCTGAGTCAACATCGCTTACAAGAGCCATGGGTTTTAATAGACCTGCTGTTCAGAAATATTTTAAGTTCGTACGGAAGTTTACTCAAACTGTAAACATCCGAATCATCAGAAAGTATTCATGCGATTTTTGCAAATAGAACAGTGGTTTCTTCCGTAGTTTACTTAGTTTTATGAAAAGAAGTTTCATTTACCATAAATAAACATAAAAAATCTACTGTGGCAAAAAAGTTTTCGAAGATCAAACACTAGTATCATTAAATATAAAATATAGGTATTTAAATAAATTATCTTCTTTCTCGCTAAAAATTTTAATATAATCAGAACCGGTTTCGGCTAATAAGCCATCATCAGCTGAATCTACAATATTAAAATAAATAAATTACAAGAAATTATCTTAAAACAAATGGAAGACTTACTGTCAAAATGAACAAAAAAGAACAAAAAACTCAGACATAAGTTAGAAACTTAAAATTTTTTAAAGTAAAAACTAAAATAAAAAACTTTAAATTTAAAATGAATTATACAATCTTAATTGTTTTCAAAAAATTTTTCATAATATTAGAGTAGATCCATTTTATGACCTTTATTGCAACGATGTAAAAGATTAACTCTTTCAAAATTGATCTTATGGTCGGTTTCAATTTGATGTTGGAATATATTAGAATTTGGCTTTTGTTGGTGCTTGTTCAAGTCTGGTTTGTAGTTTTCGACCAGTCCTATATACCTCGCATTACAATTAAAACAATCAACAGAATATATACCGCTTTGATTTAAAAATTCAATCTTAGGATTGTGATTGGATAGGATATTTAAAATAGAATTTTTATTATGGAAGGAAAGATTTAGTTCAAATTTGGATAGGATATGTTTGAAAGGTTCAAGGGAGGGGTGATAGGGAATGGATATGAAACGGTTTGTATTGTAGTTTGGACATACAAGGGATCTGACTTTTTTTGTGAATTTTGTATTATTTTAGATATTAATTTTGTGGGAAACCCTAAGTATCCTGTTTTACCCAACCTTCCCATACTTGAAGGAACATACTGGAAGGAATTTTTGTCGAACCTCAGATCAGGGAATTCTTCAAAGATAACATATTCGAAGAAAAGTTGAGTTCAAAATGTTTACCACAAAGCAACTAGCTGATCTGATAGAAGGACTACTTTCGACGTATCAAGCATTACGATGTAATATGTCACTCAAAATACACTTTCTACACTCCCATCTGGACTTCTTGTCCAAGAACCTTGGAGTCGTTAGCGACGAGCATGGAGAAAGAATATTTCTAGAAAAATCGATACCAGTGCAAATGGAATCCTCGTATGTTGGCAGATTTTGTGCAAGAAACCAGCCTAAATTCAATTACTCCAGAAACTCTTAACTTTTAATATTCGTGCGATAATAACATTTATAAATTGGCCACAGATCCTTTTTATGTTAAAATAGATAAGCTACCAGAAACACTACGAGAGCAAGTTTTGGAAATTAAAAATGATTCTGCTGCCAAATATGATTTTAAGAAGATTATCCATCTTCTCACTATTTTGGGTAAAATATCATAAAGTTTATCCCAGCATAGCAAAGCGCTGCAGCTGTATTTACCTTATTCCAGCACTTATTTGTCAAAGAGCGTTTTTTACAGTTGTAGCAATAAAAGTGAAACATAGAAATAAACGTAATATTGCTAGTGATCTACGTTGTGCGCTTTCTTCCATTCAACCTAGAATTGGAAATCTTGTCAAAAGTATGCAAGCTCATCTATCTCATTGATTGATTTGTTCTTTAAAACAAAATCTTATTCTTTTGTAATAAAAAAAACTTTTACGAAATATGTATGTATGTTTTCTGCAATTATATATTTATATTTTTACTTTAGGTACTAGAAAGGCGTGCGATAAAAAAAACTTTGAGAACCGCTGATCTATAGTAATAACAAATGCTACATGAAAATATCTTTAATATAATAAATTCCAAATTGATTAATGTAACAATCTAAAAATAAAAAATACAACCTAATAATAATACATGCTTAATTAAATATATTAACAAATTAATATTCAGTTAGACGACTGAATTTTATGTGATAATAATTTTAATTTTATAACATCATCAACGCACTGACTAAACACGGTGTATTATAAATAACTAACCAATTTTAATTAAAACAATCTAAAATTACAGATACACACGCAGTATTTTATATGTATAAAAAATAATTAACTTTGGTATGTTCCAAGGAATGCGTTACAGTTGGGGCAATAGTGGTCTGTATTCATACATGAATCCACACAGTACGGTATGCAGACGCATGGCCAGCACCTAAAATTGAAAATATATTTTAATATAATAAATGTTTTTAATTGAATGAAATATATATTTATATTTACCCAAATAAGCACAACAGTAATGCATATAAATGTGTCCTTGTGGTTGACTTAGATTCCGTTCTGGTTAAAATTTGATGTCTACATTGTGGACATGTTACATTTTGGCATTTTGGTCCAAAGTGTACGGCCTGTTCCATTACGACTGTTGTCGTTTGAACTAAAGATATAAACGATGATTAGATTTTAGATTAGAATTGTTTAAATTAAAACAAGCGTATTCAAATAACAAGAATTCTTATCTTTAATGTTTGTTAAATATTGCAGCAGTAATTTTTTAGAATGATTTTAATGTTTACTGAAGGAAAATTCTATTATTATTGTTGTATGAGTACTTTTAGATAAGTTAATTCAAGTTAATCCATTTTTATGATATTGATTCTACTTAATAAAATCAATTAATCTTTAACCCATTTTCCCTACAAAATATTATTTAAATTATATTTACGTGTAAAGCTTCATATAAATTCTAAGTAAAAAGGTTAAAAACATTTTAATAATTCATGTAGATAAGTTTTTGGAATTACACTTTGTAAGGTATGCAAGTAACAATAAGGTCGTATGATTTTTTACGTTGACGTTCTTGGAAGGTGAAGTCATTTATTTATGAATGTTTGTTTCTATTTTACGGTTAAACAGTTAAATGTTAAAAATATTAACGTATTTAAGAATCGAGTATTATTACAACTTCGACTTTAAATTAATATTGTATTTTTAGAATACATGTTTCATTATGGCTAAAATAGTGATGCAAATGAAATGAGTGTTATTATTAGTTTTATTCATTCATTTTAAAAATAAGTTGGTATTTTATGAATAAGACATTAATCATAATAAAACCATTTTTAATCATCGTTTCCTAAACTTTATTAAAATTCTAAAAAGAATGATTAATGAGAAATATATTATAAATCATAAATTCAAGTTTTTTTAAACCATACCGAAGCCCATACTTTTGTTTTTTTGAATTAAAAAAAAAAATATCAATTTGAAAAGAACACACGTTGAGCTATCTAAATCCGGAATTTGTCCAGTTAATATCGGCGTCGGTCAAAAAAGAAGCCTAATAAACAACCCTACACATAGAATTGGTAGTTTGTTTCGCGGTTTTCGTAGTTTGTAGGGAAGAAAGTGTGGCGGAATCATGCCACCGACTAAACTGATGTATCACTGCATAGAGCAGAAAATTTCCTATAGATTCTGTATGGTACGGAGTTTTGTCTGTATCATATAAGAAAGTTATGACGACGTGAACATTCGGCCATTATACGCGGTTTTTGTAGTTTTTGGGGGGGAATGTTTGTGCAACTATGCTATCTACTAATGTTATAGACTGTTGTATAGAGCGGAAAATTTCCTATAACTTTTATATGATCGTGGCATTTTGTCCGTATCATATAAGAAACTTATGACGCCGTAAATATTTACATACGATAATTATACGCGGTTTTTGTAGTTTTGAGGGGGAAATGTTTGTGCAACTATGCTATCTACTAAAGTTATATACCACTGTATAAAGCGGAAAATTTCCTATAGGTTGTATATGGTCACGCAGTTTTGTCTGTATCAAATAAGAAAGTTATGACGCTGTAAACATTTACATTCGGTCATTATACGCGGTTTTTGTAGTTTTTGGGGGGGAATGTTTGTGCAACTATGCTATCTACTAATATTATATACTATTGTATAGAGCGGAAAATTTCCTATAACTTTTATATGATCGTGGCGTTTTGTCCGTATCATATAAGAAAGTTGACGCCGTAAATATTTACATACGGTAATTATACGCGGTTTTTGTAGTTTTGGGGGGGAAATGCTTGTGCAACTATGCTATCTACTAACGTTATATAACACTGTATAGAGCGGAAAATTTTCTATAGATTCTATATGGTCACATAGTTTTGTCTGTATCATATAAGAAAGTTATGACGCCGTAAACGTTTACATACGGTAATTATACGCGGTTTTTGTAGTTTTGGGGGGGAAATGTTTGTGTAACTATGCTATCTACTAAAGTTATATACCACTGTATAAAGCGGAAAATTTTCTATAAATTCTATATGATCACGCAGTTTAGTCTGTATCATATAAGAAAGTTATGACGCTGTAAACATTTACATATGGTAATTATTAGCGATTTTCGCAGTTCTTGGGGGAAATATTCTTGTGCAACCATGTAATCTATTAAAATTATATACCACTGTATAGAGCGGAAAATTTTCTATATATTCTATATGATCACGCAGTTTAGTCTGTATCATATAAGAAAGTTATAACGCTGTAAACATTTACATATGGTAATTATTAGCGATTTTCGCAGTTCTTGGGGGAAATATTCTTGTGCAACCATGTAATCTATTAAAATTATATACCACTGTATAGAGCGGAAAATTTTCTATAGATTCTATATGATCACGCAGCTTTGTCTGCATCATATAAAAAAGTTATGACGCCGTAAACATTTACATACGACAATTATACGCGGATATAACAGTTTTTGGGGTGAAAATGCTTGTGCAACCCTGTGATCTACTAAAGTTATATACCACTGTATAGAGCGGAAAATTTCATATCAATTCTATGTAATCATGAAGTTTTGTCTGTATCATATAAGAAGGTTATCACGTTGTAAACATATACATTCGGTAATTATACGCAGTTTTCGCAGATTTTGGAGGAAAATGCTTGTGCAATCATGCGATCTACTAAAGTTATATAGCATTGTAAAGAGCGGAAAATTTCATATCAATTCTATATAATCATAAAGTTTTGTCCGTATCATATAAGAAAGTTACCACGTTGTAAACATCTACATTCGGTAATTATATGCAGTTTTCGCAGTTTTTATGGGAAAAATATTTGTGCAATCATGCGATCTACTAGAGTTATATACCATTGTATAGAGCGGAAAATTTCCTATAGGGCTGATACTGCTTTAGTTTTTTCTTCCTACCAAATAAAAGAGTTATATTGAAAAAAGTCAAGGTATAGGGTGGTTTATTAGTCGTGTTTATTGCTTGACACCGATAGATATTGATTCCACAAAACCCGGATTTAGATAGCTCAATGTGTGTTCTTTTCAAATTGATAAAACTTTTTTTTTAAATTCGGCTGCACACGGGATTTAAGTTTGTTAATTTTGAGCTGTATTCGGTTCAATATCATGATATTGACAAGACAAAGGTCAACCATAATTTAAAAAGGTTCATTCTGAAAAGAGTGACTCATCTTTATTTAGATCGTTTTAAATAGCTGTAATAACCATAAATTGAAAAATTAAATTGAAGGATTTGTGTGGCGTAATCTTGTGATTAGAACGATTTCAATTTAATGAAAACGAAATTTTTTAAATGATCTTTTTTTAATTTACCATGAGGTTGTGGTGGCACAAATCCCAGTGGTGGTGGATGTTGTGGATGTGGGGTGTACTCTGGTGGATTAAGAGGTTTCTCCATTTTCTCCATTTATTTAAGATCTAAAACAAGTCAGAAAAAAATGATATTGATTAAGGTCAGAATAAGTGTTTAGGTAAAACTGTCTCTAACTTTGCGTAATTATTAATAATTATTTGGTCCCCTACAAAAATGTATCATTTATCTTTTATCATAAATTGATAACATACTTGGAAATGGAACTATCTCGTCATCAGTAAACATTGAAAAAATCCTAGACAAATATTTACCATGGATCTTTCAACGTTTTTGAAAATAGGTTTAATAATAGGATTCATGAACACGATTTTGTTGGTTCTAATTTTGAACTTCCGTTTATTTTTTTATGATAATTGCGATTGGTTAATGCAATTAATATTTTTATAACGAAATTTTTGTAAATGACTCAGTAATTGTTATTAATTACATAAACAATTGACGTAGAAGTTTATAATACGCAATATAACAAAATGCTACTGGTAAAACCAACGTTTAAAGTTTCATTTTCAAGGTTAAATCATAGTGTTAAATGTGCACAACACGTTTTTATTTTCACAGAATTATAAAAAACTTGGAAAATATATAGTTTTTTATAAAGTTTTACGTAGATAAAGAAAAATCAACTTTATTTCAATTTGTATTTAACAAAGAATCAATAATTCATGTGTTTGTATTACATTTCCTGTCTCTAACCATCAAACAATACCATGTTAATCTAATAGCGTCCTTGGCTACTTACTTTTCATATTGTTTTCAATTTCCTAAGTGTTTATTTAAGACGAAAAAAGAATCGATAGAAATAAATTGAACGAGTTTATTACAAAAGGCCACGTGGTTTATATTTAATCTGTATTTAAAAAAATATTGGGCAAACAATAACAACTAAGATAACTACTCTGTTATTGTTTGATATTTTTTATTAACAATGTCTATATTGCGATTCATAAATAACCGAATTTAAAAAACAAAGTCGTTATAAACGATTTTTTTTAATAAATTTGATTACGTTTATAAAATAATCCAAGAAAAAAAAACTGTAAATCCAAAATGATAAGATAATATTTCATAAATCCTTTTAAATCTGAGAAACAAATTATAAAAGAACCGTATTCTTATAATTATATAAGTACAAAGAGAATAAAAAAATAAAAATAGGAAAAAGTAGAAAGTGTGTGAAAGTCGGTTTTATAACTTAACCGTGCTACGTGTCTTAAATAAAGTTAAGTTTTATTAATTACCCACATAAAATAAAATTTAAAGAAATCAAAAAAAAATTAAACCACACTGAAAATTTTCAAAACATACTCACTTAAAGAAAAAATAAATTAAAATTCACACTAATTATATTGCAACGACTTTGTGAAACCTTGTGAAAACTTGGTCGAATTGAACTGACAGACTGAACGCACCAACCAAACGTGAAGTTCTTTATATAGAGCCTCCACGTTTTTTATCAGATTTTCATAACACAGTGATGGGGGCTAATGGTTAAAATCGAATAGATACGTAAAGTATATCTCACATAATATACCATGGAACAAAAAAATGTGAAAACGTAAATATGTGACTCACTACTGGGTGATTCTACGTCATCAACTAATCCTTGCTCAATTTATTTTAAACTGTAAATCAAATACAATGCGGTTGAATCAGTCGATTTATTTGTACCAAAACATTTATGAATTACTTCCAGCTAAGAAGTTACACAATGTTATATTATAGATTTTTTTTTAATTAACAAATAATTTTTATAATTACATTAATTATTAAAAATTTGCTTTTGTGTTATATACGTATGAAAATATTCATAACTAAATAAAATTGGAAATAAATTAATATTGAAATAATTTTTGAAACAGTATTCCTATATTAACTTGTAAACATATATGATTTGAAATGATTCTAGAGGATATAACCCATTTAGGACCATACAGTTGCGTTTACGCAATGTTTACAAAAAACATTGCGTAAACGCAAACGTAAAAATATAGTTTTTTGGTCAGAAAAATATATTAGTTGTGCTATTTCTAATTTTAAGCCCTACAACCACCTAGAGAGGATGGAATTCTGCCTATTTTTCTGCAAGGCAAAATCAAGAATTACGTGTTTTAATAAGCATTTTAGAGGAGACAATTACAACCAAAGGGATAGCCCTATGTGTCATAGACATAGTCAAGTCTGAATGTAATCAGAAATACAAATATTTGTCTATTATTACACAAATTATTATTCTTATTACACAAAATTCACTACATACTTTTAAACTATGAAATAATACCAAATCGATAGGATAAGATACGACAATTTCTCATAAATATTTATTATTAAGAATTATTTTAAAGTAACACTAAAAAGCAACGATGACAGAGGTTTTATAAAATTCGAATAGCGTCCTTAATAAACAAATCCAGCGGTTAGCATGTCTTAAAAGGAGGCAGCTTTAAGTGCCTTATCATTGAAAACATGCTATTCACTCACGTTGAGGCAGAGTAACCTCACAGGACATCTCAAAAGCCTCAACTTAAAAGATGAACCATTGCCTGGTACACCTATGTTGCAAAGACAGTTGGATCTGGGGTAGGTATAGGCATAAGTGGACCAAATAGCTGCGTTTCTTGCTATAAACTTCTGCACCGTTTTGTGCCTAGAAAAGGGACAGAAAGGTGCATCCATAAACATTTTCACAGACAGTCGGGCCATCGTAAAGGTAATTCAGGCCTACGCGCGTGACTCCACACTGATCAGAGTGGACCAGCAACCTGGGAGAACTCGCTAGGGGCAATGATGTTACTCTATGGTGGGTTAACTCCATAACTCCGTCGCAACACAAAACCAAAGAGGTTTTATGCCTCAGCAAAGGGGATCTAAGGTCTCTCACAGGCTTCTTGACCCGCCATGCGCCCCTAAAATTCCATCTCTTCCACATTGGACAAGTTGAGGATCAAACTTTTCGACTTTATAACAACGAGTCAGAGACTACTGAACATAAAGCATCTCATAAAATTAGGGATAAAATCAATTAACTAATCTGTTCTTAGCCGTTACTTGATGTCTTTATTTGCTTCTTTTTTTTTCATATCTGAACATATACTATAACTGTGAATACATCTGTTTATAATGCGTTAATTTACATAGTCTTACCGTTCATACCAGTCGTTCGTTAACTTAAAAGTTGAAATATTTTGAGCAACGCGCAGTACCTTGGTGCTTTTGTGGTGTATCCATTCACGCCTAGCGGACGCCTTTATTCGTTTAAATGATCTATGTATGATTTTTGTAATGGACTAATAAGCATCAATAAAGGATTATTTATTTATATCAGAGTTGGGTAGTATCCGGATACTTTTTAAGTATCCGATACTCTGTATCCCGTTTTCAAATTTTGTATCCGGTATCCGTGACTAAATCTGAAAGTATCCGGTATCCGTATACTTTTTTCGGTGTTCGGATATCTTTTAATTGAATTTTTTTTTATTTCCTAATCCCCATTTTTTTCAGTCTCTTCTACTATTATACATCTTTTGTAACTACATCAATAATTGTGGCTTTACATGTTGCAGGTTAGTTGTTCTTCTCTTTTATTATTGTGTGAAAATCGAGGGGTCTCTCTCCGACTAAAATTTGTGCACTAAATTTCCCTTTTTAGAACAAATTCAAAGAACTCATTTCCTAGCAAGTCTACATTAAATTTCCCCAGCGAGAGACCACTCGGGAAAAATATAGGAGAAAAGATTAGGAGTAACTATAAGTAAAATATGGATGACAATATATTAGTTTAACAATAATTTAGGTCATTTTAAAAGTATCCGAGATCCCTTGATCTTGATAGCCCGCGATCTTAATACAATGACAAACCAAATTGCTTTGATGATACTATGTTATCCTTATTTGATTTTCATGCGCCTGTGATTACTAAGGTAATCAGAAAGCGTGCTTTGCCATGGATCACTTGGAATGTCATTCAAATGATTAAAATAAAGTATGAAGCGTTTGCTAAGTATAAAAGGATTAGGAGTCACCAGAGTTTTCAATATTATAAGACTCTACGAAATGATGTCACGGGTGCTATTCGCCGGGAAAAAAAGGTCATTTATTGAAAAAAATTTAATCGACGGTGACTCTAAGTGTTTGTGGAAAATCCTGTAACGATTTAACGTGTTGAAATCTTCTGCTATTTCGTTGCCTTCTCATTTGTCAGGTCCTAATGTTATCAATACTCCTGATATTGAACTTCTTACTTTTTATAACAATAATAGATTTAATAGATAGATGCGTCCTGCTTCGTCCATCTTTGCATTTAGTGCGGTCTCTACTGAGTGTATCCAGTAGATTTTATTGAACCTAAGGTCTACGGTGTTGGATCTGATGGAATCAGCGTGGATGTGATTCGACTGTGTTGTCCCCGTATTCTTGACGTCTTGTCCATGTTTTCAATTTTTGTTTGATTCATTCAGTGTTTCCGGATTGCTGGAAGTATGGTTTTGTTGTTCCCATTCCCAAAGTTGTTCCTATCACTGGTTGTAAGAATCTGAGGCCCATTACAATTCTGCCGGTTCTTTCAAAGATCTTAGAAAGACTTATGATAGAGCAGTTAAATATTTATCTGGAAACACATCGCATTTTGCCTCTTAAGCAGTCCGGGTTCAGGAGACAGTTCAGTTGTGCTACTGCGCTCGTGGATTTGATTGATGATGTACTCAGGTCATTAGACCAGGGTAAATCCACAGTATTAATTTTACTTGATTTCACTAAGGCCTTTGACATCTTTGATCATAGTCTCCTGTTGTGCATTTTGAAGTTTATTGGATTGGATGTTCATGCAGTTAAGCTATTCGATAGCTATCTATCAAATAGGGTTCAGTCGGTTAAGCGGAATTCTGTTTTATCTGATCCTGTCATCTGCTCTTCTGGTGTTCCTCAAGGTTCTATCTTGGGCTATATATTATATTTTTCTTTTTTTGTGCTTTTCACCATTTACACTTGCAATCTATTTTCCAAACAGGAAAACCTCCATACCTTGATTTTTGAATGAGAGTTGAGGATGACAATTGTAAATTTTGATTTTACTTTTACTTTTATTATTTTTTGTCTTTTGTTGTTTTTTATGTTTTCTTTTTGATTTTTTTTAAATGCTACTCAGCATACGATTTTGGTTTTTTTTTCTGTTTTCGTTTGTCTTGGTACAAGTTAAAATCAGTGGTACCTAATGTTGCTACCTTTTCTGTTCTTGTACCATTTGAGTCATTGTAAGTTGAATACTTTTTTATTTATTTTAGTTGCAAGGATTATTTTATTTTGCCTTGTTAATTATATTTATATATATATTTTTTTTGTTTCTGTTCAAATAATTTTGTATCTTGTTATCATTATTTCTGGCTCAATAAACAGTTTATTATTATTATTACATGTATAGGGATACTTTTATGGAGAAAGTACCCGTACTTTTTGAAAAAAGTATCCGCATACATTGTAAGTATCCGGTACTCGAATACTTTTTTCCTGTATGCGATCCAGCTCCGGAACATATACCGTATGAATGCGTCGCCAGAGACCGTCTAAGACACCAAATTTTCGGTAAAGTACGCCTGATACCTACCGACATAAAGGGATAAGATTTTGAGGCAATACTAAGGTTCATCAAGAACCTACATTTGTCCTAAACTTTTGGGAGGGCTTAAGTTACAATAGATCTTATAGGTCGTGGTGACGAGAGAGACTTTATTGGCTATCGATGGTAAGCTCATTAGGGCATGGTCTTTCCACATTTACAAGCAGTATGTATACATAACAGTCGCGTACATAATACAAATTATAATGGTAATAAAATATTAAATTTTAAACATCTTCTCCCGTTTCCATCATAAGCTGGTTCTTTGTATGTTATCCAGTGTCTACTGTCGTTATCTTCTTCTATACTTTTTAACACAATTTCTTCAATGCCTACTTGTTGTACTTTTTATTGATACATTTCTTCTTTAGTTCTTCATACGTTAGTTGTATAGGTTTTATTTGTGTTCGAGCATGCACACAAAAATTTAATCTAACTTCAAATATTTAAATTTCTTCAAAATGATATATTTAATTCAAGACATGATATATTTGAAACAAATATATTGAATTGAATTAAGAATATGAATGTATTTTAAATAATAAGAAAGTAATATTCTCAAGCATTATACTAAATTCATTACTTCATCATTACTTATATTGCGCAAAGGATTTTTGAGATGTCAGATTTTGGTTATTATTCTTATACATCTTCTTTCAGGTTTATCAATAATATCCTTATAGTCCCAAACCGGTCAGTATATATACAGGTTTTTTTAGATCTTTATTGCCGGGTTGGTGTGTATCCCTTCGTTTTTGTAGATGAGTGTTCGGAAGTATTTGGCTTTTCTAATTGTTTCGTGTTTTTTGGTTTTGTAATATTGGATAATTTTG